ATCGTCAGGCATATCTTTTCCTTATAAAATCAAAAACTTGGAGACGAAATAATTGTTTGTAGACCGAAAGATGTTTTTTTTTTTGAGAATGTGCTATTATTGACGGTTGTGTACAATATCGGAACGTGCAAAGACGCAACGCTAAATTTTTCAAAATTTTAAGTGAGAATTTTATTTGAACTTTTCTTGTGATGTGGTAAATCCACGTATTCTATTTTTACAAGTGTTTTCAGTTAATATGTCATGAACTAAGTATATAGTTCAATTAATATAGTGTTATTTCTTCGTAGTAGATTTTTATAGGAATTTTAATGCATACATTATATACTACTAGCGATGGATATCGCCAATAATAGCATTAATATTGCTGATTGATATGCGATTATTTTTTTTATATATATATATATATATATATATATATACACACACACATATATATATATGGGGGAATCTATAATATATATGGGGGGAATCTATAATAGATATGGGGGAATCTATAATAGATATGGGGGATCTATAATATATATGGTGGAATCTATAATATATACGGGGAATCTATAATATATATGGGGGTATCTATAATATACGGGGAGAATCTATAATAGAAACGGGGGGGATCTATAATACATAGCGGGGGTGGGGAATCTATAATAGTATCCAAAAATGAAAAAGCTTATAAAACGTCATTTGTTTTAAGCTTTTTCAGGTCATAATGAAAACAAGACTGTATAAGGAAAACACGTTTGGATTTTTTATACTAAGTGGGGGGCAATTGATTAAATCATCTTATCAGATGCATTGAGCTAAAAAGCTTAGAAAATATTTACATATCTGAAAGGATGTATGCAAAGAAAATCTTGAAATTCTAGCGTGTAATTACCATATCTTATATTTAAGACTAATTGGACATTTCTTTTCTTACCCAGAGCGAAATAACATTTTATAATTAGCAGATTCTATTATCCCTGGTTATATATATATATATATATATATATACACAATATATATATATATATATATATATATATATATATATATATATATATATATATATATATATATATACAAGATGTAACAGCTAAATTGTCAAAGTCGTGTAACAGCATAAATGTCCATCCCAGAAAATGTTAAAAAAATACGAAACTAATTCAGTTTCTTTTTTCCAGGTTTTCGAATAAGATTTTTAGCCATCTTGACGCTGTTTTTCGTAAGAATCACTGAAAAACCCTTTGAGTTATTCAGCTAGAAACAGAACAGACTACAATCGTTTTGCGTCAGCCACACTATGTCTTCCCAACTGAGCAATGGTGAGAGGAAAAAGATCATTCAGCACTTCAGTAATGGTATCAACATTCATACTCTGGCTTCCATCTTCAAAATCCATTTTAGAACCTTCACAGGAAAGGTGAATAAGTTTAAAACAGAGGGAACAGTAGAGAAGAAAACTTTATCAAGGGGTCACAACAGGAAAAGAAATCATCATTTCACTTAGAGCTAAAGAGATCAATTAGAAAAGATCCAATTCGAATGGAATTCGAACTCAGCTGGATAAAAAAAAAATAGTGACTTTTGTATACTCTTTTATTTTTTTTTTTTTCAAGACTTTGTATGAGCAAAAAAAAAATTCATGAATTTGGACGAGAAAAGAAAGAAGCAAAGATTTTAGCATGAGCAAAACAGATTCACAGATTTGGACCCCCCCCCAAACAAACCAGAATGACGTCAAAATATAACCGTAAGTTCTATGCTAACAGTTTCTTCTATCGCACATTGCCGTTTGTGGAACACTCTTCCCGATTTCTACTTTCCAGTTAAATTTGATCTTTAAAAATTTAAATGGAATGTCAATCGTTATCTTCTGTCTTCTTAATTTCCGTTCTTTTGTTTATACTTCTCATTAATAAAGTTTCACTTTCTCTCATATTCTCCCATACTGAGAAATCACTTGCGTCCTTGTGGCTTTATTGCCTTTCTTAGGGTGAAATAATAAAAACATATATATATATATATATATATATATATATATATGAACAATACAGAAGTAAATTGCTAAATCAGTTGGGGGACAATGAAAATATTTTGAACACCATTCCTCTCGCCAAACGGAAAAACGTAAGAACACCGGAAAAACTAAAAAAAAAAAAATGAATTAAATTTTCTTCATCTGCCATAATTAACGAAAATAGTTTCAAACAATGGTTGCTGCCCAAATATACATTAGTGCAGTAGTTCCCAAGCTTTTTTATCTGACATAGTGGAGCTGACAAAAAATATATATGTGTGTGTGTGTGTGTGTGTGTGTGATATATATATATATATATATATACCGGATGTAACAGTGAAACTGCTCAAATCGTGTAACAGCAAAATTGTTCAATCGTTAGATTAAGCTTTGAATTGTTGTATCTTAGAAATGATTAAAGATATCTTACTGGAACTCTCTAAAGTTTTTATAACACAATTGGACTATATTTTGAACAATAAGTATATATTTAGGTTT